TTTTCTAGAAAATCTATAGGACCCCAGCTTTACTAGAGAATCTAAGACCTCAACTTTTCTAGAGAATCTCGGATCCCAGCTTTTCTAGATAATCTAGGACGCCAACTTTTCTAAAGAATTTAGGACCCCAGCTTTTCTAGAGAATTTAGGACCCCAGCTTTTCTAGAGAATTTAGGACCCCAGCTTTTCTAGAGAATTTTGAACCCAGCTTTTTTAGAAGCAGCTCGATAATGGTTAAGTATAAGTCCGCTAAATAGATATTCTCTATTTGGGATTTCTTATTTACACTGTTGATGACTGACAATATTCTCGTTTATCGAGAGGTTTTAGGATTGAGAAGCAAAGACAGAAAATAGAAGTTGCGATCAGTTTCTCCCTTCACATATTTTCTTAAAAGTTTTTTTATATAGCAGCAAACTTGCAAGAATGCGCCAAACATTTTTAAATTCAAGATTACTCACATTCAAGCAATAAGAAAAACTTTGCTATCTTTAATTATTTTTTATATACTTGGAAGGTATAGGGTAAAAAAAATTATTTGCTAAATATTGTTTTCTCTACAGAACACGAGGATTTAGCAGTAGGGTCGCAAACCCAATTCAAGCTGTAACTGTCGATCACAACTTTTTTTAATAATTTGTTTTTCTTTTTTTATTTCCTTTGAACTTTTTTGTCTGCGTATGCGTTTTAAATTAAAATTTAAAAAAAGTAATTTTAAACTAAAATTTAAGAAAAGTAATTTTATATTAAAATTTAAAAATGTGATTTTAAATTCAAATTTAAAAAAGTAATTCAATATATATGTGTTTATAGACCAAAACACAATATAATTCAAATAGAAGAAACACAATACATCTGGAGTTAGTCCAAGGAAAAATTATAGTGCTAAATTAATTTCAGGGGTTTATGCCATATTTGTCCTAAGCATATGCATATGAGATGTAAAAACGGGAATTTACGGGGCAACCGAAGGGTGAAATTCTTATTTGTAAAAAATGTGTCCTCTGTGGTATGCTTGGTTACATACAGAGTTACCCACAAAGGATGAGACTGTAAGGACGACCCAAAGCTCTAAAATTAGAGATGTTGAAGCTTGATTGTGAGGTTTTGTATTCAATTGAGTATTTTGTTTGTTTACCAAATGATTATGCTCGTAAATATGCCAGTTTTGCAGCCTAAAAGGAACCATGAAAACGTATTAAACAAATTCGGTAAAGTCGTCTGATGAAGTCTTATCCTCTGTCTCCTCTGTGAGTAAACCTATGTATAATCTTAATAAAAAATCCCCCCCCCCTTCATTAGAAAAACCTTTGTGTATACTTGGGTCAGCGCGTTTTTTTTATAGACTTTTACTTCTAAATCCTGTAGAGTGTAATATTAGTCGAATTCTAAAAAGAATGAATCTGACAAGCTAGACATTTGATTGTCTCAGGTTTGATGGATCCTGATGTTTGCACAGATTTTGCAATCAGAACACGCTGCACAAGCTAGAGTCTCCCGGGGGAAAGAAAAGAGATTAAGATTGAGATTTTTATATTTCAATCTTTAAAAGTCGAATTAGGAATTTCTTGTTCTCTAGCTGCAGGAGCTGCAGCAACGACTATACATATTGCAGTGAACAAGAAGTTCAACTAAGATTGTGTAAACTGGATTTTCAAAAGGAAATTGAAGCTGCAGTTACTTTTAAAAATACATATTTTATCTTTTTTACTTTGTGAAATTATTGCATGTTCACAATTTGTCCTATTTAAAGGATTATCATTAAAAAAAAATATTAAAATTCACACAGTTTCTTAAGGTAAAAATATGGGTAGGGATGGCATGAAAAGGCCTCTAATTCCTTTTTTCTATTTTAAAGAATAGTTTAAAAATATATGTCGCCCCCCCTGGAAAATTGTGTAACCCGTCTCTGCTCTCTTTAGTTGAGAGTTAAGACGGTTCCTTGTTTAAACTTTGAAATCTCAAGGAAGGAGAAAAACATTTATAAAACTTGTAGAATATGTTTTATATCTGACTAATTTGCATAAATTGACCATATATTGGGTATTCGGTCCAATAAATGTTTTTATCTTCAAGATTGGATATTATTATTTTAGTCATGTTCAATGCATAGAGCTCTTGAAGATTGGAAGAGGGGGAGACGGGGGAACAAAGGAAAAAATGTTTTGTTATTTGATACTTTCTTCAACTACACACAGTATTAAAGGCGTCAAATTTTGGCCTTGCACAATAAAATCTACGAATATTTTGCAAAGAAAGAAGAAGATTTTTAGCTGAAATCTTAGTTCTTATTGTTAACACTATTCAATATAAATTTAATATTTTGAACCTGTATACTATATACCATACCAATTTTTAGTGTTTTTTAGTATGATTGAATATTTGGTACAAATTTCAGGTTCTATCAAACCATAGACAATAGCTGTCTAGCTGTCAAGATGTCAGTTTTATTATTGGAAGATTCAACTTTTCTTCCTCAATATCTCCAGTTTAAAAACAATATTTCCATTTCAGAAACTTCATATCTATAGATTACAAAGATAGGGCAGGTCTAGATCCTAGTAGTCTATGTTTAAATTTTTTAATTTTAATTTAAAATTTACGCTACATTTCTGTTACGACGTTGTGACCTCGTTGTAGCTCCTCTAGTTTTGACTTTATACATATTTTGTTCTCTCAATAGCTCTTCTCATGACTGTAAACATTGTGTTGTATTTGTCAATTTCTTCTGTTAAGTTTCCCAACATTCATTTTCAGTTAAATAAATAAGATATCTCAGTCATTAATGATCAGACAAAGATTGACAAGGTACCGTTGTGAATCAGTCATGACATTCAGAGGGTCACTAGAAACTACGTCTATAACAGTCCCTTTAAATCAAGGACTCAAATCTGAACGTTTCTCTCTGATTAATTTAGAAATTTTATTAATTCATTCAAACATTGATCTCTGAGTTTCTCATTCAAAGTTCTCATTCAATGAAAAGTTTGTTTTGAAAAGTTATAGACAGACATTCGAATTCAAATATTGACATATATTTAATCCTTTTCTCTTTCAATCCCTTGAAAAGTTAGTTTCAGAGGCCTCGTTCTTCCCTCTTCATTTTTTTTTTGCAAAAAAAAATCATAAACCTATGTCATGCAAACTGTTGATAAATACTAGCTGAAGTGTCCATCGTTGCCCGTGGAATTTTTTAGCCAACGTCACCCTCAGGGTGCCCATGGGTTCCCTCAAAAAAGTTCTGCCAATTTGTATGCAGGTTGGGCAATATGTTAGACAAGGGCGAGACACGCTTTTGCACTTTTCTCCGATTTCTTGTTTAAAACATGAATGCGATCAGTTATTGTGTTTTTCCAACCAAAGGAATTGAGTCTTTGGAACAAAATCAAATATTTAAACCTCAATATCTTTAGAACCCGATGTTGTAAACCTTTGATATTTCAAACTCAGATTATTTGATCTAACAAAATTCATAGTTTGAAATATCTAAGGTCTGCAACATTTGGTTCCAAAGATATAGTGATTAGAAAATCAAAGTTTGTGGCTAAGACTCAATTCCTTTACTGAAAAGTTTTAGCTCTCAGATATTTGGAAGAGAAAAATTAAAAAGAAATAAGTATAATTAATATATATATATTAAATATACAATACATTTTGACATAGATATATTCTTGTATCAGATTAAAGACACAGTGATATTTTTAATGTTAGGGTAGATTCTGCAGATTGGTTTAATGTTTTTGTTAAAATGTAGAATATAAGTTTGTATTATTGTCTCCCGAACTTTATAAGCGAAGAGATTGAAACATGTGTAAATTAAAGATTTATCGAAATAGAAATTCTTTTCAATAAAATTTATATCTGCAGGGTGTCCCACGAAACATGACAAAAGAGGACGACTTTAAGTTCGTCTTTGATATTCCACCCCTGCTCTCTCAGTTCCACCCCTGCTCTTTCAGTTCCACCCCTGCTCTGTCAGTTCCACCCCTGCTCTACCAGTTCAACCCCTGCTCTGTCAGTTCAACCCCTTCTCTCAAGCTGACAACACCTTGTCACTTTACCTCCTCTCTCTCTCATGAGGGTTCCAACTGTTTCCTACCTTACTGGTGGCCCCCAGCTCTGAACCCAATTTATCTGATTTGTCGGTAAACCTTTCACTAATCATGGATTTCACACACCAAGTGGTTGAACTTTACAAATATTTTGTTAGCTCAGGAGTTTCTGTTTCATGGAACATATGGTCAAGTGGAAAAGAGCAGTTTTTCTCCTTCTCCAAAACCATAGGTTTCCGATCACCAACCACCAAGAGGGAACCAAAGGAGACGGTGGAAAATGAAAAGAGGAGCAATTGAAACCTTACAGAACCTCCTACTTTAGAATGTTTCTTAAAGGTGGACCACAAAACCTTCATATGCAGAGGTCACTAGTAGAAGATTGATACTGGTTCCATTAAGTCTGGAACCAGGTCTACATCTACGTCTAAATTTGAAACTTCTGGTACGGTTTTTGGAGAGTAGAACAGTTCTCTTGATATTCTAGAACCTCCCACATATTCTCTTCTAAGTGAAATTCTTGAAAGCAGGTTTTTTTCCCTGGTTCTGAACCGTCAAAAGTAATAGTTGTCTCTGGATCTAGAACCTCATACACAGTTTCCATTAATACAACTCCATTAGTTCATGTTCTTTAGAAATTGGAACCTCAAGTTCAAGTTTGACAGGAATTCAATCCTCTCTAAAAAAGAACCTGTAGCACTAGACCTCATCCAGATCGAGTCTAAAACAGAAGCTTTTCCTTAAATTAAATTAAAACCTGAACCAAAACTGAATCCCGAGTTATACCCTTGCCCTGAACCTGAACCTCAATCTAGCCATGAACCTGAACCTGAACCTAAACCTGAAACTTAACCTAAACCTTACCTGAACCTAAACCTGAACTTGAACCTGAACCTGAACCTGAACCTGAACCTGAACCTAAACCTGAACTTGAACCTGAACCTAAACCTGAACCTGAAGCTGTGCTTGACCCTGAACCTGAACCTGTAGATGAACCTGTGTTTGACCCTGAGCATGAAACAGAATCTGAGAGATATTTTCAAATTTTAAAAACTATAAAAAAATATTGCGCCATTGTAAACAATCTTACAACCCGATATGATATTTAAATGTACTTGCAAATAATAAATATTTAGATCTTAAAAAAAGATATTCGAAATTATTCAATGCATTCTTTCGTCAACCTACTTTGAAACCTTAAAAAAGGCAGACCACATTTTGGAAATGCCAGGACCAATGTTGTTTTGTGAATATTAATTCTAAAATTTTACGATTAAAACTAGTTTTACGAATAAATCCCGCAAATTATTCAAAGATCAAAGACGAGCTTTAAGTCGTCTTGCTACCGGTATGTTTCGTGGGACACCCTGTATAATATATCTACTCTATCCCTTTATATCCTAGATATAACATAGATAGATAAAACATTTCTAATGCTCTGTATAAAAATATACCATTGTAAGATAAAAACTGGTTGAAAAGTTTATTTTATACTTTAAATGTAAATTTAACGACCATTGGAGGTTTCTTTTAAACTCAAGATTTCAGCAATAATACTGTAATAGGATTTACTGGAGAACTAGGCTTACAGAGCTAGGTTTAACTTTTCAACTGAAAACACAAAAAACATAAGCTCAAATTAATATTTAAAATTTCAAAAGAGTCTTAAAACAGGTTTGATTGATTTTGGGAACGAATTAAATGATAACTTTATGCTGCATTGGAGAATCTGTACGAAACTGTGTTGAAAAAAATGTCAGTATTCCATAAATCTTTATATTTCTTGGTTCTAAAACACTCCAGGCCTAAGACACCACAAGAAGGGTGACAAAAAGATGGCTTTTTGTGTATTCTTAAATAAGCTAATCTATGATAATGTTATCAACAATGTGGCATCGTTTGAGGTCCGTTTTTAATAATTATAAGTTTTTAGAGGCTCCAAAGTCCACATTCAAGAATATGAGTTTTTGTTTTAATAGCTCTATCAATGTCAGATCCCTTCCATATGTAAACTTCTTGTTTTGTTAACTAAAAACAGGTCTTGAAACCCATTTTTAGTTCAACTGTTTGAAACTGAGGAGTTGTTTTGGCTATTTGAAACTTTTGGAAAAAAAAGATCCACACTGAATAGTAACGATCGACATCATCTTTATATTTTAATATGGATGGACAAATAATTCAAAACTTACAATTTAAAATGATTACACTTCAAAGTTTTCCAGAGAAAGTGTTTTTTTTCTATTTTAAGTTCTTAACTATCTCATGCATTACGCCTTTTGAAGTCTATATTTTTATGTTCGTACGTGAAAGCATTAAAAGTGTACTTTAGTAATTGTAATTATTGAAATTCAAAAACTTAAATAACAGACTTTACGTTGATCAAATTTATGAATTTCAAGTAATTTTTCTCAACAAAATCTTATTCTAATTCGCATGACAGAGTGGTTTTCCAGTTGTTGTATTTACAATTGAAAGGTAGCAAAATTCTTAAATGTTAAGTCTGCGATCTGACAAATGTTAAAATACTATTGGATTCAATATTTCAAGATTTAAGCCGGCGCTCAATTGAAACCGTTTTTGGCGGATTTAAAAGACGACTCTAATTTATTAAATTCGGACTCTGGAAGCGTAATTTCAAGTGAGCAAATACCGGATTTACAACAGTACCCTTTATATGTTCAACAAGTATGGAGAAAGCTATAGCGTGTTTAATACAGTGTGAACTCAATAAATTTGATTCATTACTTACGTCGTAACGTCCTTCAAAAATATAGACTATTTTACGCTAAAAACCGTTTCCAAATATTCGAAAGTAAATTTATATTTTCTTCCACTTCTTGAAGTAACTATTGAATTTTTTTTTAAATATATTACAACTTGGAAACAAAGAGTTTAACAATTAAAATCATTTTGGTAGATTTATAATAATAAGGATCTATCTGCCATATCTTTATTATTATTATGGCAGTCCATGCTTTAAAGGGCACGGGATACTCCTCTATAACTTGAAGTTAGGTTTACAGTCCCTTTAACTTTTATTATTCCGCTATTGAAACTATATTTTGGAAAAAATAAAACTCCAGTAATATTGTTGAAAAAGTTTTATTTCACAATATTAACAAAAATATTTGATATCTTGCAGATTTTAGAAATAATAGGCTCATGGTTTATAATTTTAGTTAAAGAATACAAAAAATTGATTAATAGATTATAATTAATTTGTAACATGACATTTTCAGAGAGTTGACATGATATGTATAAAATTGTAGAACATCACGGGCAGCCGTGTACATTTGAATTTCCGAGCCGGGTCAACCTTTCCGGTCCCAGTTTTTACTGTACCGCACGGACATTGGGTTAATAAAGCAGAAAATCAACCAGGACTAGCCTATGCAACATGGTTGACGCGGTCGGACTTTATGCTTCATTTATGTTGAATTTACTAGAAGGGCAGAGGTGCGTGTCATTTATGCGCATCTATTTTGAAATTGTTTGAAAAGAATGCAATAATCTATTAGGTGAACACTGTACACNTAGTAGTAGTAGTAGTAGTAGTAGTAGTAGTAGTAGTAGTAGTAGTAGTAGTAGTAGTAGTAGTAGTAGTAGTAGTAGTAGTAGTAGTAGTAGTAGTAGTAGTAGTAGTAGTAGTAGTAGTAGTAGTAGTAGTAGTAGTAGTAGTAGTAGTAGTAGTAGTAGTAGTAGTAGTAGTAGTAGTAGTAGTAGTAGTAGTAGTAGTAGTAGTAGTAGTAGTAGTAGTAGTAGTAGTAGTAGTAGTAGTAGTAGTAGTAGTAGTAGTAGTAGTAGTAGTAGTAGTATTAGTAGTAGTAGTAGTAGTAGTAGTAGTAGTAGGAGTATTACTATTATTATTATTATTATTATTATTATTATCATAATTACTATCGCCAGTTACTACCTGGAACTGTTTAACAGCAAGGTTAACCGGTAGATTGAAAACATAAAGAGATAAACGTTCAAGAAGATGGAAACCATCATCAAATCCTACAAAATATTTTTATAAATTTTTTTTTATCTTTTTCTGTTTGTCTGTTTTCTATGGGTTTTGTTAAATTTTGATTAAAAAACTAGCTAGAACCAAGGTAATGTTCTTAACTTGGTCTAAAATTAGATCTAACTTGAGTTGTTATCTTTAAAAAAGACTATAGGCCTATTTCCCTGTAGTCACCTCAAAGATAGAAAATGTATAGTCTCAGTTTATAGACTATTTACCTGTAGTCACAACTTAGCTGGAATATATATTCTCAATATATAGACTATTTACCTGTTATCATCAAGTAGCTAGAAGATATATAGTCTAGCTCAGTTTAGACTATTTACCTGTAATCACAACATAGCTAGAATATATATAGTCTCAGTATATAGACTATTTACCTGTAGTCACAACATAGCTAGAAGATATATAGTCTCAGTTTAGACTATTTACCTGTTGTTACCACATAGCTAGAAGGTTGATACATAGTCTCCAGTATATAGACTATTTACCTGTTGTTACCACGTAGCTAGAAGATATATAGTCTCAGTTTAGACTATTTACCTGTTGTTACCACATAGCTAGAAGGTTGATACATAGTCTCCAGTATAGTCTGATTTCTTAGGATTAATCTGAGCCACGGAACAAGCTTGCGTTTACTAAAAAAAACTGTTTATTTGCTAACTCCCAGAATTATTTTGAATTCGAAGTTAAAATTAAAGAAAAAGGAACTGAACTCTATTTACTAATTTCTATATTTTTGTAACCTTATGTTAAATACCTTGGTTTTTTAGACTATGGATCAAATATTCAAAGTTTGAAATATTCATACCAACAGGTTGCAAAGAGACTAGAGACTATAAAATCAGCGGTTAAGGTAATGTTTAGTTCCTTTCTTCCACAAAATCAAATTATCTAACTCCTTTATATTTGCAACCTGATGGTGGAAATCTTTTATATTTTAAACTTAGACTATTAGATCTCAAAACTCAATTCCTTTATCAAATACGAAAGCCTACTTCAGTCCTGCTGATACGAAAGCCTTGAAGTGTTGATCAGGAGTCCGTTTGTACTGGGAGTGCGAGGATAAAATCTGACCAATAGTCTGCAGTAACACCTGCAGTACACACATATTAGTACACTTTAGTTACTGCAGTACATAAATATTAGTACAGTTTGTTTAAATTTCATTTTATACGTATTGAAATATTAAATGTTTTCAACATTACAAGGGTTTACAGCGGAAATTCGAAAATTTGCTCGCGCATTCCGCAAACTCTCGCCTCGAATTCCGCATTCCCTTCCAAAAGAAATTCGCGAAAACAAATTCTGTAAAAAAAAAAACACTTTTACTGTGTGTAAATTTTTGTTTATATACAGGGTGATTCAAAGAAAAGTGTGATTTGCGGCGCCTGATGCAAAACTGTACCTTTTTTGTGCACCTTTCAATGTTTTTTCAATATTTTTTGAAAATTTGTATTTTTTTTGGTACTCCAATGGCCCAAAAGAAAATTTGCGAACCTTTTTTCTCTCAAAATCAAAAGTTCAGAAAAGCAAAAATGTGTAAATAAATTAGTTCTATCGAAATCTAAATTTTAAAATTTTTTCTAATTAAAATTTTGCTTTTCTAAAACAATTGTTCGTAAAACCAAAGCTAGATGAGCTACGAAGTTTTTCATCAACTTTTAAGACAGGGTCGACTTTAAGTCAGACAACGCCTTTGATCTACAACGCACATGTTTCTAGCATCAGTTTTCAATAAATAATTGGCAACATTATATTTAAGAACCTTGACATTTTAGTTCACGAGGCTCGCGACGAGGAAAATTTATTTTTTGAAATGAAATCTTAGGATTTAAAAAACTTCTGATGTAAGGAACATTTACATCACTTCCCCTATTTTCTCAATCTCTAGTCAGCCAACTATAGAAGGTTGTTAAAGCTCCATCTTTATATTTTACTACTATTACCAGATAACCGTAAACAAAGAATAGAATTGGATACACGCCAATAAACAATAAAGTACGGAGAGAAGAGAGGGGAGGGATTCAGGAATATTTATTATAAAATTAGAGGGAGGGAGGGATCCCGATTTTACCAAAATACCTGTTTGTTATTAAATACAGTAAGTGATAGATCTAACCCAATCTAAAGTTTTTTATTAGATACAGTAGGTGATAGATCTAAACCAAACTTGTTATTAAATACAGTAAGTGATAGATCTAACCCAATCTAAAGTTTTTTATTAGATACAGTAGGTGATAGATCTAAACCAAACTATCTGTTTATTATTAGATACAGTAGGTGATAGATCTAACCCAAACTACATGTTTTTATTAGATACAGTAGGTGATAGATCTAACCCAAACTACATGTTTTTATTAGATACAGTAGGTGATAGATCTAAACCAAACTACCTGTTTTTATTAGATACAGTAGGTGCTAGATCTAAACCAAACTACCTGTTTGTTATTGGATACAGTAGGTGATAGATCTAAACCAAACTACCTGTTCGTTATTGGATACAGTAGGTGATACATCTAAACCAAACTACCTGTTTGTTATTGGATACAGTAGGTGAATTGATCTAACCCAAACTACCTGTTTGTTGTTGGATACAGTAGGTGATAGATCTAAACCAAACTACCTGTTTGTTATTAGATACAGTAGGTGATAGATCTAACCCAAACTACATGTTTTTATTAGATATAGTAGGTGATAGATATAAACCAAACTACCTGTTTATTATTATATACAGTAGGTGATAGATCTAAACCAAACTACCTGTTTGTTATTGGATACAGTAGGTGATAGATCTAAACCAAACTACCTGTTTGTTATTGGATACAGTAGGTGATACATCTAAACCAAACTACCTGTTTGTTATTAGATACAGTAGGTGATATATCTAACCCAAACTACCTGTTTGTTATTTATTGGATACAGTAGGTGATAGATCTAACCCAAACTACCTGTTTATTATTAGATACAGTAGGTGATAATTCTAAACCAAACTACCTGTTTGTTATTGGATACAGTAGGTGATAGATCTAAACCAAACTACCTGTTTGTTATTGGATACAGTAGGTGATAGACCTAACCCAAACTACCTGTTTGTTGTTGGATACAGTAGGTGATAGATCTAAACCAAACTACCTGTTTGTTATTAGATACAGTAGGTGATAGATCTAACCCAAACTACCTGTTTGTTATTGGATACAGTAGGTGCTAGATCTAAACCAAAACTTCTTGACAAACGACGCGCAGGAGCAGAATTGAATTCAGCTCCGCCCTTCAGCTCATAATACCTAAACCATAGAATTGTAAAGAAATTTACTCTTTGCCTCAAACTCTGATATTCTAATCCCTATATCTTTACAACACAATTTAGTGGATCTTTAATAGTTCTAACTATAAATTCTGCTAAATCAAATCAAGTTTGAAATACAAAAGGTTTAAACCGTTAGGTTGCAAAGATATGGGATTATAAAGTTTTTGTTTAAATTCCTTTTTTTGTATTTTCTCAGTTGGATGCTGAATATTAAAATTGCTACTGTTATACAAGTTTAGGAGAATATTATTCTAATTTTAATTTACAATAATTTTTCTAATTGTGTTTCGATATTAAAATTCTAAATTTAATTTTATTTGTGCTTTTTGAAAGATGATGAGCTTAAAATATTTGGTAACATATTTTGACTTTATTTTTGTTTAAACCTTAATTCTTAGAAAATAAAATAAATATAATGAAATCCGATCATAGAAAAGCTACGGATATAACAAGGATGCATTAATAATTTGTAAAATCAAATTTCGCAATAAAGAAACAGTTGATTTTAAATCTGTTGTTTTAGGGGTCGTTTTTCGAAAAAATCGTTCGGTCAGTAAAAAACGTCATTGTTTTAGAGTTAGTTCGAAAATAAACATATTTTCTTTTAAAAAAAACTAAAGTTTTTTTTACAAAAGTGCAAACAAAAATTCGTTCATTCAGTAAAAAAATATTGGGATTTTAAATTTATTTGAACGAAAGTTTCAGAAATCGTTCATTAACTACTGATCTATAAAATGCGAACGATCGTACACGATTTCAAATTGTTCGTTTTTTCGTTCGTTAAAAAAACGATTATTTTTATATTTCTATTAAAGATACAATCATATAACTCATTCGTTCATCGTTCGTCCATGAAGTTTTTTTTTAATTTCGTTCGTTGAGAAAAACGATGCTTTTCTCTAGTAGTTGTATGAAGAAACTAAAGAGCTATATGTGGGCGGGGTTACTCTCAAGTAATTTGGTAAAAATGATTGAGTAAGTTTGAAGTTTGAAACTTTAAACTATGTTGGATTAGTTAGGATTAGGAAGTATCCTGTAAAACTAAGTGCACCAAAAAACATAAGACAATTCGGTAATTTAACGTTATGATTGAATTATTTACCATTCAGGAGTCTTCTTTTTTTCTGTATTTAAAATTGCGCTTCTACAGTAATAAACATGAAACAATGGAATAAAAAGACGACATTACATCAATACTTAGCGTTTTGATGTTGTTACAAAGCAAATATTTTTACTAGTAACTAAGCAAAGCACAATTGAAGTGAAAAGGGTCTATTTACACTGTACAATTGCTATGTCTAATGTTCATTGAACTATTTTAAGTTCTAACTTGAGTTTAAAAGGCATCTTCCTATTTCAGAGCATTTCTAGAAAAGTACGCGTTTGGATGTGAGACACCCTTAAAAATAATATATTTAACTTTACCAATTTAAAAATAGTCATTTAATGGTAATTATTTTACGTAATCAGTTCCCTGCAGTGTTCACACTGTTCATCTTCAAATTTTCATAAAATTCAGGATGTGATTTCTTTACTCAAGTTTAAATCCAGTTTTGAAATTGGAAATTGAAACCAAACTTTTCTTCAGTTTTATTTCTTCTTCCTAATCAAGATCTACGTCAAACTAAAGTAAATTGACGGTAGATTGAAATCTAATATTAATGATAATAACTTCTCTTATTGAGAGGTATAGAGAAGAGAACGTCGTCAGGTAAATTTGATGTTTTCATGGTTGTGCATAAAGTCAAAAGTAGAGAAGCCAAGAGGGAACAAATAAATTTGGTCTTTTCCATCTGTGTAGTTCCGTCTGGAGTTCCGTGTGGAACACTCAATAGTTTTTTGAGTTCCTTGGCCCTTGGAGTTTTCCCCTTAATTCAAATATCCTTAATCTTTTTCTCACTTTAGCATTAATTACTAGGAAGACAAAAACCTATGGATAAAAGATAGAGTAAAAAGCCTTTTCAAAATTGTCTGCATTGAAGGACATCAACTGTTTAAATCATTTTGATTTCATCAAAAGAAATTCTTAATATCTGCGTTATTTCCATGAAATGAACACAGTTTGACTCATTTTTTAATCTATATATAAATTTGGCTTGTCTGTTTGTATGACCTGGTTATAACATCCCAGACATGAACTATCCCTGTATTTGTCGAGCTTCTACCAGACATACAGCCAGAGAAGGGGAGAAGAGAACCACGCCTACTTTTCTAAACACTTATACACTTAGAGAAGGGGAGGTGAGAACCACGCCTACTTTTCTAAACACTTATACACTTAGAGAAGGGGAGGAGAGAACCACGCCCCCTTTTCTAAACACCTATACACTTAGAGAAGGGGAGAAGAGAACCACGCCCACTTTTCTAAACACTTATACACTTAGAGAAGGGGAGGAGAGAACCAGGCTCACTTTTCTAAACACCTATACACTTAGAGAAGGGGAGGAGAGAACCACGCCTACTTTTCTAAACACTTATACACTTAGAGAAGGGGAGGAGAGAACCACGCCCACTTTTCTAAACACTTATACACTTAGAGAAGGGGAGGAGAGAACCACGCCCGTAAGAGAAGAGATATTGGTATCCGCAGTGAGCACTTTATAATTTAACGCAGAATTAGCTTAATCTCTTGATTTTTGATATTTGCAATTTCTCAGTTCTCTCATGGGTTGAACACAAAACTTCATGGCTTCATGGTTGGCTATTTGTTTACACAGACGACACTGTGATTGGTTGAGTCTTTTTCTTCCGGCCCTGGATAAGAATTAAGAATAAAGAATATGTTTTCTAATTGGTCGTGTACTCCACTTGTACACATTAGAACTCAATGTAGAAAATATCGCATATTCTAGCCTTTAGTACAGGGTGTCCCACGAAACATGACAGTTGGTGAATAGTTTTGAATGCCTTTTTCCATAATTTGTTAAGTTGTTTGATACCAAAGATCAATTAAAATATTATATGGGAGTCATGTTATATCAAAATTGATTTCGAAGTAAAATATAATTAATCAAAAGAATTGTTTAACTAAAAATAGCTATTTATTAAATGTCATGTTTCGTGGGACACCCTGTTTATCCAAGTATATCTCTGTACTTTGTGATCTCTGTACCTGCCCTAGTCCATGATGTAGAAGATCCCTAAGAAGGTCACTAAATAGGTATTATATTTAAGGATTCTAAGTGAAAAAAAAACCGGAAAAAAACTTCTGGAAAAAAATCTGTTAAAAAAGTTCAAATTTTCTAAAGTTATAGGACAAAATGTCACTGGAAATAAAGTCCTTAGTTTAAGATTACTGGGACTTTTTGTGGGCTGCCAAGAAAGTCACAGGAAATAAGATCACAGGAATTAATGTCCTGAAGAAAATTTATCCCAAAAAAAACAAGAAAAAAACATTAAGTCTTGCAAAAATGAGGTCAAGTCTGAGACGTTTTCCCAAAAAAGGACTTTTCTCCTATAGTGAAACCCTTAATAACGAATACATCGGAAGAATTCATCAAATGTCGTATTCTTCCCTTTCTGATAATGGAATGTGGCAGATAATTAGTTTTTTTAATTAAATGATTATATGGAACTCTTTAAAACTGTTCCAGCATATTCATGGCTATTTATTTATTTTCGGAAATACTGAAATTTACGTAATATAGAACTTGAAAAATTGTCAAGACGACATTTGATAAATTCTTCCGATGTATTTGTTATTAAGGGTTTCACTGTATGCATCTGCATATTGAATACAGTCAGGGGTGTTTTTAATATCAAGTCCCTTTTTTCCGTGGTTGTAGAGATCCTTTGTTCCTATGCCTTTTCTACTACTATAATAAGACTTTTTTTCGGGACGTTTTTGTATAAAATCATACTGGAACCAGAAAAAAATTTCTAGAGACTTTGTACATCAAGGACTTATTTTCCACAGGACTTTTAGCGCCAAAATTTAGGACTTTATTTCCAAAAACTTTTTTTAGAGAACTTTTTTGGTGGTCCATCTAACGAAGTATTTGGAAAAAAGTACTTAAAATAAAAGTGCCAAAAATAAAGTCCCAAAAAAGTCTTGGGAAATAAAATCATATTAATTTTTAACAATGACTTTTTTCCGGATTTCGTGCTGAAACCACCATTTAAGTCTGCAGGAAAAATAATCATAAGAAAATAAATACTAAAATAGAAGTCAATGGAAAAAAGTCTCAGAAATAAAAAAGTGCAGTACACTGAAGTACACAGCAGAAATGAAAAATCTACAATTATTTTAAGTTTATTTGTATAAAATCTTCAGTACAATTTTCCTTAGACTTTTAAGGATGAAATCCTACCGTGAAGGAAAATAAAAAAAGTCATGACTTTATTTCCACAAGAATAATTTGCATTACACAATTTGATGAAATTTTTCCTAAGAACTTTTTTAGTCCCTGAAATTAGGACTTTTTTCAAATACTTTTTTGATTGTGACTTTGTTGGATTGGATGTTACCATATTGAAGACTGAGCCGCGGTAAGATTTTACCGAATATTTCGTGCACATCCATTTAAAGCACATTGTGTAAAAATATTCTGTCTTGAATGTTAATAAAACAAAGCGTAAGCCAACATTCTTTTATCTACTACAATAAAGCTATTTCTGGTCAAATAAATATCAAGACTACACTGGCCAGTGCCCTAGAAAACTTTTAGAAAATTCTTTTTCATAGTTTTTAGAAAAGGTAGGAAATCTCTTCGATCGGATTCCTCCTCATGTCTTTAACATACAATGTTTATGTTTGTAGAACTAATCTAATTAAGCCATAAATTAGATATACATAAATATTAAGGTAGGTGGGAATTTGAGGTGCTTAGCACCACCATATATTCATATTTACTACAGATGGCAGCAGGGAGAGAAAGAATATGAAGTGTGGTCAATTGTGCTATAGATGTCTCTCAATTTATCTTTCCATAGAGAGACAAATATATAGAGTTGTCTGCTACAGGCTATTTAGGCTTCATACTTGCCTTTATATCTATGTATATTTAATCTATGAATTAAGCATGCTATTGCTGAAGTATTAGAAGCAACTGAAGTAAGTCGACATTTATGTTAGTAAAATACATAGGTTCTATATAGATATGTGTATTATCCGCAGCACCCTCCCAGAGATTCAGACTAAAACATTAGCCATTGCACACATGCCACATAATTTGTAGAGTTTGCAGCCTTTCTCCACTGCTGACTTGCTCATTTAGATAACTCTATAATTTGTTAAATAAGCATGTAATCATTCCAGGGGGTCAATCTACTATTGCACATTGCAACCTAACATTAAAAATGCACGTGTAAAGTGTTTGTACCTTAACCTGTTCCCTCCTCTATGTAAATAAACAAAATTGTAAACAATGCAAAAATTGTATAAACAGATAAATTAGAATCGTCGAGAATTGTAAAATGTGCGCTAAAGTGTGTCCCAAAGTTCGATTTGGGGACAAAAAGAGAATATTTCTGTCAATTATTTTTTTTAGTAAAATTTCAAATTTAATTACAGCATGAACAGTGGTAGGCGATTATATCAATATAATGAAGACTACTTTTGATTTCAATTTTGATTTATATAAAGCTTTTAAACAGCATGCATGGTACACAAAAACATGGAAACAAAAAGAACCTGTCAATTAAAAAAGCTTCTCTTTAATTACTTTTAATCTTGTAATTCGATAAAAGCTTGTTAACAATCAAAACTTAAATAAAAATTCGTTTTCATTATATTGATATAATCATTTACCACCGTAGCCAAACATGAAACATAAGTTTAAATTTTAAATATTCCTCAAATATCATATATAATTTTAAATTTAAAATTGTGTAGAAATATTAATTGGACCTAAATAATTCGTTTTAAAAGCTTGTGTTTTGCAGACAACGCAAAAAAAGTCAAGGGTTGGTGAGAATAATTGAAATACTGTGCATGAAGAACGCTAAACTTGTTTAACCCCCTCCACCCCCACCCCCA